GAGCTCCAGTGGCCAAACGCAGAAAACATCGGAATCTTCTAGAAGGAACAGTCTACATCAGATGCTAGGATGAATTCCTGAGACACCAAAGAGTGAGTGACATGTGTCCCAGGATGCAGGGAGCTCAGCTGAGAGCCACTTCCACACACGCAGCAGAATATGCTTTGATAGATGTTTTTGTAGCTGTGGAAGGCAGGATTGAAGCAGCATGAAGGATGGATAGGCACCTCCTAAGTATGGAAACATATTTCTGTTTTCTTTTTTGCAAATGTATAGACTATTATGGCAGAAATGAGTCGTTCCAACTCAGAGCACCTTTTCTGCTTTTGATAAATTAATTGAATAGCTACTTCTAAATCTAACCTAGAATTTCTTCAGGTCATAATTTCACCACCTCCAGAGCACACTGGGCTTTTGTGGCCCAGTGATTTAGGTGATGCCCTGCCCCTCCTCTGAACCTACCCAGCCACACCACTACATAGTATCCCATAAGTCCACTCTGTGGGAGCCAGAGTCCAAACCCCCAAAGTATACTTTCTCTTTTCTTTGCTCTGGGAAGCAATTACCCCCTCATGGTTCTGATTCAGAGCAGTAGAAAAAGAGGGGGGGGAAAGCTGAGACTTTTTTCTTTAATCTCAAGAACCTTTTCCAAAAAGTAGTATTTTGCCAAAATTGCCTTATATTTTTAGCATAATTCAACATTTTACTGTATTGTGAAAAGAAATTTTCCTCTCTGAAACAAAAATCTGGACCACATTAATAACCAGCTAATGGCATAAAGGATGTGTTTGCAGAAGCACTGTGACTGTGGCTAGCAGCATCCCTGGGAGCTGGAACAGGGATGCGAAGAGGGTTGATCGTAAGGCCAAGTATCCACCCCAAGTGAAGTTCCATTCCACGCATAGATTCCATGAGCCGGCTTCTTAACTGGTGCCCAGCCCAGGGTCTGCCCTTAGGCACCTCACCTGTAAAATCACACACAGGGTTGAGATGAACAGAGTTAGTCAGCCATCCCCAAACAGGAGGCAATGAACAGAGCTAGTCAGCCATCCCCGAACAGGAGGCACTTAGAGAGCAGCTGCTAATGTTAGCATTGACTTTGTCAGGTCTTGGTCTTGTCCTCAGTCCCAGCCAGGGTTCAGCCAGGGGCAAGGCAGCTTTGGAGAAAAATGTGATGCTGAGTTTCATCCCAGCCCTGCCCCCTTTCTAGCAGCATAAACTTGGCAAACAACATGAACTGTCCTGGCAGGAGTGAAGATAGTCTAAAGAGAGATGCCTATGCCCATTGGCACCACTGTAGCGATGGACTGCAAGGAATCTCATGGTTCAGGGAAGCGAAGGCTGAAGCCAGGGTGCCAGCTGGAGGAGGTTCTGGTTCCAGGGAAGGAGATGTCACTGAGTTCTGGCAACTTACCAGACCAACTTGCAGGAGAAACTGAAGCCAAGACGATGATGGATCAGTGGTGGGTGGGGCTCCTCTTTAACCAGGACTGCTTAGTTACACCTCAAAGACTGGCTGTGGCTTACTGGACATGATTCTTGTCCCTTTTCTCTATATGGCCACTGAGACACGTCTCTGCCCTATGAGTCCAACCATCACTTGTCTCTGGACTGTAGTTTGAGAATGGGTGCCTGAGCCTAGGTAGTTGGAGCTGCCAGGGACCAGGCTCTGACCCTAACAGCTCCACTGACAACCTAACTCCAGCTTGACTTTTGTCTTCTTTAAAGAGGAATTAAACAGGCCCATGAATGGCCCCAAAGACCTGACTGTGTAACTGGGCAAGGTAAATCCTCATTCGCATCAGTTCCTTCCTTCCTCTCCACCCCTTCCCCCCGAACCTGGTCTTGTAACACCCTCCTTCTGCAGAGCCAGTGATTGGTACCATGACTTCCAACCCCAGAAACAAGTAAGAGAGATGGTGAGCAAGCATGTCCACCTTAGCTCTGTGCCTTCTCTAGGCTGGCACCTTCAGGGAGCAGGACTATCCCAGCTATATGCTGCAATCATGAAATGCCATAGGCAGGTTATCTCTAGGAGGCTGGGATTTGGTGGAGGCTTGTAACGGCGTAAACGAATGCAGACAGATTGTAAAAAAATATATATATATATATAGCTTTAATGGAGAAATAGACTTACAGAACCACCATTCCGGCTCGCCAGATTTATAGGTAAACATTAGCCCGAGGCGAACACGCCCCCTAAGGGGCGGGACTTATCCCTACAGAGGCTGTTCTCTGCTTCCAAGATGGTACCCCTCAATGTCCTCTCATGTGGAAGAATGTAGAAGGTTGTGAGCAGTCTGCCTGGCTCCCTGCATCCTAGCATGAGGTTTGGAATCCCACTTGTGATGGATCCACCCTCATCATTTGATCACCCCATAAAGGCCTCACCACATTGAGGGTTCAGCCCCAGCACCTTGGTTTAGGGAACTGTATTGGGTACCCACCATAGACTCGGTGCCCAAGAGATGGAGTCTCTCACCCTACTTTTCCTACATTTTTGCCCCTGAGAATCACAAGGAAGGGGACAAAGTGTTCTTTACCCAGATGTCGCAGACACTGTGGGTTCATTGAAGTCTATGAAACAGAATAATTCAAGTGGCTTCATGATATCCTTTGGGAAATGAGAATAAGCACATAACAGTTCAGAGGGCGGAAAAGACATCCCCAGACTGCTCGAGGAATGCCCTGGGTGGGGTAGAGAGCCTCAGGACACCCTGCACTCAGTAAACATCCACTGTTGGTCCTCTGTCTACCCACAGCTCCCTGAATTCTGGGGATGCAAGAAAACCAGCAATGCCCACCCCCACATAGCTTACCCTCGGTGCGGGGAGAACTAACTAACAGGCAGTTCTACGCTCTATGCTGCATGATGATATGCAGTTAGAGAAGAGTGCATCAGGGCTGGGAGGCGCCCTCTCAATACAGGAGTCAGAGGAGATCTCTGTAAGGAAGGACCCGTAGGCAGAGATGGTGAAGTCGAGAAAGCAGGATGTGTGTGTGTCTTTGAGAGCTGTGCCAGGAAGACAGACAATGGCATGTGCAAAGACTCTGGGGCACGGTATTAAGAACCACAATCAGGGAGGTAAAGCTGGAGCAGAGAAAGAAAAAAAGGAAATGACCTCAAAGAAGTAAAACAGACCAGAGATCAGCCACGGGAAGGAGTCTGGCTTCACTAGAGCGACTTTGGACATGCACGTGGGTTTTGAACAGAACAGTGGCTTTGCTTAACTGAGTCGTGTGGTCTTCTCTCCTAAGAATGATCCAGGGCAGTAGGAGAGATGTGGGAAACTCAAAGGACCCAGGCAGAGCATAATGGTGGCTTCCACAAACACAGTAGCCTTCAAAGTGGTGACAGGTGTCAGACGCAGGCTGTCTCTCAAGGTAGGGTCAACATGACTTCCTGATGGAGCAGGTGTGAGTGGAGAGGGCTAGAGGAGCCCTCCTGGCTGCAGGTGTCTGGGTTGGCTTGAGTCTCCAGAGAGATGGGGCCCCAGAGCAGCAGAAGCTGTGAGACTCTACCATCTATGAAACAGAGTCAGCATGCAGGCAGAGGTTCGGACTGTGAGCCACATTCCACTCCATCACAAGCCAAACATCCCCACCTATCAAATAAAAGACTCGGAGGTTTGAAATTCTGCTTTAAAAGGCTCATCTTCTGTGTTGGCACAGCCTCTCTGGCAAAAGAGTCTCCCCGATCCCCTTCACGCCTCACAGACTCTGTGGACAAACAGAAAGCACCTTTCTCAAAGCGAGGCGCCCTTCAAGCCCACAGTGCTTTGAATGGATGCTTCTATCATTCTTTATAGCAGCCATACAAAACCACTATTGTCCTGGTTTTACAACCACAGAGACACTGTGAGTCAAAACGTGTGTCAATGGAGACTCTGGAATGTCTGAGAACCTAGACCCTTAAGCACTGTGAGCTCCAAAACCACCGTCTTCGGTCAGAGATTAAATGGAATTGATGAAAACACTGATATTGCTTCTTGGGGAATGCCACTAAAAACACTGTTATCTTGTCTTTGATCAGTGGTAGGATGAAGCAGTCAGGCCTGGCAACTGTAACCAGGAAGCCTTTGAGAGTTAAAGGAACAGGATCACATATATCCAAAGACTGGTTTGAACTACCCACGAAGTCAGGGATGGCCATGAACTTAGGGTCCTCTTGCTTCTACTTCTAGCAGCCAGCAAGTCCCAGGAATCCTCCTGTCCTAGCCAGCACTCCCAGTTCTAGGGTCACAGGCAACTGTAGTATACAACCACATCTGGGTTTTTACATGGGTGCTTAGGATTCAAACTTGACTCCTGGTGCTTGCTCAGGAACCATCTCCCTAGCCCAGGAAGTCTTTTATTGAGCAAAGCCTTTACTGAGAGCCAAGCAGCATGTCAGGGGCCACAGAGGCTGGAGAGTCCTGGTAAGCCCAGAATCTCACTGAGGTCTAAGCAGGACACAAGGAACAGTGACTATGCCCAGCACCTATCTCCTGGTCTTTCTGTTTTTGTGCAAGGCCGTACCGATTAGTGAGGGTGGATCGTCTGCATCCCAGAAAAAAAAAATGTATCCTTGTTACCAGGATCCATATTTTCCTTGCAAACTGGGGGTTTACAATTCTCACACACAAGAGTGTGCCATGGGAAAGGGAGGAGTGTGATAATGGTAAAATGAGCCAAAGATAATATTTATCGAAGATTACATTGTCCCTTCTCAATGGTCAGTTTTTAAATGCCTATTCTGAAGAAAAAAATACAGAGCAATAAAGACTGTTTTCTTTTTTTCCTCTCATCTTGATCATGGTGGGCAACTGACTTATCCCCACTTCCTTTGAGACTGACTCGGATGTCATGTGGGGCAGCAGCATCAGCCACTGTGGGATTCTATACAGACCTGCCGGCATATAAGTGCTAGGGGCAGAGGAGACTCATGCAGCCCGGCTTTCCAGCCAGCTGGCTAACTTGCTGACTGCTCATTGGCTCTTTCTGTCTCTACCTCCCCACAGAAAAGTCTGGACTCCTACTGCTTCCTTGTCTTTGCCACAGTGTGCATCATGGGAGCTGTCTACTTCTACTTGGTCCTCCCGGAGACCAAAAACAGGACCCATGCAGAAATCAGCCAGGCTTTCGCCAAGAGGAACAAGGCTCAACCCCCAGAGGACAAGGCTAACAGCCAGCCTGTGCCAGATCCATCCTCCACGCTGGACAGCCATGGCGAAATCCAAATGTCTAAATATGTGATCTCACTATAGGAACCGAAGGCCTTCCCGAAACTTGGAAGGTTTCAGCGAATTGAAGCCATGTGAGACTCTCATACTGGGGTGTTAGGAAGAAGCCGGGGACAGTCAGATCTCACAGCTGTGTCTTCACAGCTACCCCTTCCAAACTCCCTGGAAGCGTTCCCTAGGTTTGGTACACTCAGCATTCTACACGGACCAAAGGTCGCCCTCTTCATGACTGAACCTGTAGTTTTGAAATAAAGTTGGGGGAAAGGGATCAGGTTGCCCACTCAAAGGAAGGCCTTTACATCTGATGGACAGTCATTGTAAAGGGAGTGGCAGACCTGGACTTGTCCCAGCTATGCTGTTGCTAAGCAACCCTGACCTGCCCTTGGCCTCCAGCCTCCAGAGTCCTGGACTTGGTCCTGCATGGAGGCTTTCTGACACCCGTGGGAAGATTCTAGGTCGACACTAACAAATGCCTGTTGCTAATCTACCTCTGCCCTGTGGACCTGAGTCTTTGAACACCTCTTACCAGTCCACCACCTTCTGCACCTACCGAGACAGGCTTTGTCCCCAGCGCTCATGGTTTCCAGGTCTGAGGCTGTCTTTAGTTCAGACTGTTACAGGAGAGCACACAGAAGAACAATAAATAATAGTGTTAGGAATTTTTCCTATCGCCAGCTCTCTGCCAACGCAAGACTCCCAATCAAGCCAAATCACAACAAGCCAAATTTAAAAAATATCCAGGTTTTAATGGGATTCCTGTGCTCCTGGGTGGCCCCGATGGGGAACCAGGAGGCTGCAAAGGCGACCACCACTGGCGGGGAGAGGAAAGACACCAGGAGGAAACTTTTCAGGGAAGCAGTTTAAATAGACTGAGGGCGGGGTCAAGATTTTGGCAGGCTCATCTTGACCAACACTTGGCGGGCACAGGGAAGGGGCCTCCAAAGATGGAGGCCAGAGACCAGGGCTTACAAATATGAGAAAGAACTTTCTGGCAACTAGGGGGCAGAGACTACAAGTAGAGCTCTGAACACTGAGAATGACACTAAGACTAAAACTAGAATTGATGGGAAAGAACATTGGGATTGATTAGTAATGCCTGCTCTGGATGCAGAAATAGAGTCTCTGCTCCTGAGCCTTCCTGTTCGCAATGTGAAGGAGATTTATCTTCAGAGGTCACAAGTTGCCTGAAAAGACACTCCTTATCACTCAGAGTGCTCATGTGAAGGCTGGGAGAATCACCTGCCCCAACAGCTGTTAACAGAGTCAAAAACAGTATGTACAATAGGGTGTTAGAGTGGGTGTCTCATTGGACAGCACCTTGCATCTTGCCATCATCATACGTGGTTCATGATGTTTGGCTGAGTCCCTTCTTCTGCCCCTAAAACAAAGTACCTATGACAAATGTCATAAGCAAATGACAGGTTCTTAAACTGGCATTGGTGTGTTTAAGTTTAGAATGCCTTAGAAGGTGTGGTACCAGACGGGGAAATCCCCAGGCGAAGCAGCACTGCTACTTTCCCGACTATTCTAGACAAGGGCGGACTTAGCCAAAACCTGTGTTCTGTTCCTTCCCTCACTCTTCATCTGGGCTTCTCCATGGGTGCATTGCCAGCTCAGGGCACCGTGCCATCCAGCAGTGGTTTGGACAGTGTGTGTACGTATGGAGAGAACGTAATACATGGATTTGACAAGTGCCATCACCAAGGGAGCCAAGTAAATTGCAAAACAGAAATCCTAACATTTGAAAGCTGTCATTTACTTGGAAATTTAAGAATTCTGCCAATAAATATTTATTAGCTAGTAACTAATCTGCCTTGGCTGGGTACTGGAGATATATCTATGGGAAAGGAAACACCCGGCCCTGCCTTACACACTCATGTCTGACAGAGAAGATGGAGAGTCACAGCACTTTTGGCAAGGTGTAGTGCCATCAGCACTGGGTGAACAGTGGTGTGGGGACATGTAGCAGGAGGAGCTGGGTGGCAGCCGAGAAAGGAATGCCTTCCCAGACAAGGGACAGAGCAGAGCCAGGACCAGTGTGACTGTGAGGCCAGAGGACAGTGATTATTTTTGCATGTTCTTATATTTGAAATTATGATGAAGCCATACTACAGACATTTTTTGAAAAATAAATCTCATAATAGAACTGACCATCTCACTGCTTCAGATTTTACTTTTTACACAACTATGTCCATTTCCTGCCTGTTATTAATCCACTACAAACAGCATATAGAAAACATGATTGCAATCATATTTCTCTTATCATCTTCTATTTTTTCCCACTTGATATTAAATCAAATACATCATCTCAATCCTGAAGACCTTTGTTCACATTCTGGTGCCCGCTGCAGAGAATTCTGCATAGGAAGCTGTTTCTTAGAGGCTGGAAGACAATGAACGGGGATCCAGGAGTCAGAGTCAGGCATTCCCTGAGGGCCTGCAGGCCAAAGTCTTGCTGGGTGTCTATTAGTCATTTGCACCCTGCATCCTTGCATGGTTCCCAAGGGAAGCTCAGCTATTGTCCTCACTTCTGATTCCCACCCAAGGCTAGAGCTGACCTCAGCCCTTGTATGTCCATTATGCCCATTTCACTTCTTCCCCAATCTCCAAACCATGGAAGTTGGTATTTCTTCCCCTCAGAGTCCCTGAAATAAGGTAATTCTTTCAACTTCTGGTGCTAATATGTACACACAAGTCCATTTCTTTCTGGCTAATTTTAACTAAAATCCTGGACAGAATCACAGTGTAAACTCAGGCAGACTGAAGATAAGAAAGCAGACAATAAGAAAGCGGTTCATAGGTGGGGCTCAAACTGTAGCCATGACTTCCTGCATCTTCTCATCCCACATCGCCAGCTCACACTCCAAGACAGCAATGTCTAGAACCACAGAATGGGTACCCAAGAGAAGCTCTGGAAGAAACCGTTACTCTATTCGGAGTGATTGGAGGAAACTCGGGGCCCTGCCTGGAGGTGACAGTAGGAACCACACAGGCACTTAACAAAAAAACCCTTCTTTCTGATGAGAAGTTGGGCACATGAGCCTCTAAGTTCCAAACGGTACAGGGGAATGCCTATTACTCAATCTTTCTCTCTGCCTCTCTCTCTCTGCCCCCAAGTCCCTCCTTTCCCCCTCCTCCTAGTTCTGCTCTGTTTCAGATACAAGTCCACGTAAAATATAACACAATAGTGGGGGAGGGGGAAACCTTGCGGTTCTAACCAAGAGAGAAGAACACAAAGTGGGGCAAGGGAGTAAAAAGAGCTGAAAACACGCTAAATCTGTGGATGAGATTCTGCACCAGCGTGGATCTGATCAGAGGAACTTTGAGAATCGAAATACATGTAGACCCCAGCACAGGCCCATCCGGTTGCCAAGGCACACACATGGGGTGGACCTGCAGATCAGCACAGAGACTAAGGAGTCACCACCCCAAAGCATGGGTAAGAATTTTTTATCTGAATTTAGCCAGGCCAACTGCCTGCTCTCAAATAAAAGCACAGAGAAAATTTGAGTAAGAGTCAGTTATACTATTTAAAACACACAGGATAAACGTGTGTGTGTGTGTGTGTGTGTGTGTGTGAGAGAGAGAGAGAGAGAGAGAGAGAGAGAGAGAGAGAGAACAGGATTAGAAACTGGCCAAGTAGGACAGAAGCCCCAGAGTGTCAGCTCTAAGAATGTCCTTGCTTTGCAGCTGTGAAAACTTGAGTTCAGATCTTAGAAGCCATGCAAAAATGTGGCTGTGACCATTGTCTTGTTCACCAAAACCCCAGGGTTTTGAGGGAAAAGGACAGGAGAATTGCTGGGGCTCACAGGCTAACAGGACAGCTCCTGTGTCAAAGAAATAGATGAAGAGTGACAAGACACCTAATAGCCTCCTCCAGACCCTAGACCCTACTCACGTGTACAAACACACACCTGCTCACACAGGTACACAACTGCACACTCAATGCACACTTAGATACACTAACCATACTTATAGAAACACAAAAAAAGAAGAGGAAAAAGAAAAAAGAAAAATAGTACCTAGCCAGCTATTCCCTGGCCAATTTTAGAACATGATTCAATTGCCCAACAAACAGGTAGAGAAAGACACGGTTAGCAATTGGCTGGACTCTGCTTCTGACAGCTGGATTTGGTGTCTGTGGTGAAAGCACTGGCTGAAATCGCTATGTCCCCACAAAGATGAGGGATCTGCAAAAGTGGGCCAGAGTCCACCTGCTGGCCTTGAAGGTAGAGGAAGGGTCCTGAGGTAGGAACTGCAGGTAGCCTTTCAAGATTGGAAAGGTCAGGGGCTGGATTCGTCCCTAGACATCCTGAGAAGAGTGCAGCCCAGCCAGCATCTTTACCTGCAGAACTTCCAGTTCCCAGACTGTAAGATAACAAATCTGGGTGGTTTTAGCCCAGGAGGGGAGAGTGGATCACTCCTTTTATGATGCGGCAAAATAACCAGGCTAGCTTAATATGAAACAGCAAAATTTAATGAAGGGATAACTTACAACACCAGGGATCCAGCGATGGGCAGGAAATACAAAAGGACTGGCGGGGCTCATGCCCGCCAGATTTATACATAAACATTAGCCCGAGGCGAACATGCCCCCCATTGGGCTGGGCTTCCCCTACACTTTTAAATTTCTATCTTTTGGAGATGCTTTCTTTACGAGCTACCCAACCAGCACAGAGATCTGATCTCGGCACCATGAGAGCCATCATTAGGAGCTACCCAAGCAGCAAGGAGATCTGATCTTGGCACCAGGAAAGACATCACTGGAGCACCAGGAGAGCCATCACCGGGGAGTGCCATCACTGGGAAGATATATCAGTAGGCAAGGAGACCTGATCCTGTAAAAGAAGATCCATAGGGGAGCATTCAGAGGAAGAGATGGGCAGGTGCCAATGCAGGAATTCACCCAACAATCTCAAAAACAACATGAAACCACCAGAACCCAGCGACCTCACAACATGTGGACATGAACACCTTAATCAAGATGAAGTAGAAAAAATTGACTTTATGAAAGTGATTGACAC